CTTCCATTGAAAGAAGGTCCTTTAACATTTCTTGTAGTATCGGTCTGCTGGTTATGAACTCTTTTGGCTTTGGTATGTCTGAAAAAGTCTTTATTTTGCTTTTGTTTTTGAAATAGATTTTCATGTTTTTTCTCAGAAAACAATCCATCTCCACAATAAGAAACAGAAACACGAAATCCATCTTTGATGATTCTGCAAGATCTTTGTATCCTTGAACCACAACATGTGAAAATAGAATGCAGATGGTGGAATAACAATGATGATGGATGATGATGATGATGATAGCACATGTAATGTAATGTTTATGATGTCAGCCAGCATAGCAGGCTCTGCAGGAGATTCAAATTAGGTTAATTCAAGGAGGACTTCATAAGGGGACTTTATGCACTTGTGGGCAGAGTATAGGGACAATGCAGTCTCCTAGGGCTAGTGACAGTAGTGTTGGTACCCTCCTAGGCTGGCAAGCTTAATGGGAACTCAGAGAGGACTCCTTGAGGGGAGTTGTGACTTCATGTCAAGAGATGCAGTTAGACCAATGCAATTCTTTGAGAGAGCAGGGGGAATAAATACTCTAATCTCACCTGCTCCCCTCTCTGATGTTACGCAAGCACTTCCCTTTGGCCGGAAGCTACTAGCAAGAGAGCCCATTGATGAAGTACATGCAGGTGCTGCAGGCACAGTAAAGGAAGGATCGGGTTAGAGAGTGGCTTTGGAGAGGTAAACGAAGATATCTGGCATTGCATCCTTGGATATATTAGCTCCTTTAATCCTCCCCCAAATCCTATAAATTACTATTATTATCCGCAGATGAACAAACAATGCAAGAAGAAGAAAAACTCAACAAAACTATGATGCCCTCAGTTTAGAGAAGATACGACTTTCACTAAACAAGAACAAGATACTCTAAGAATAGGAACAATGATAGAAAAAGGGAAAAGGGGTGCCTGGCTGGCTCAGTCACTAAGCATCTGCCTTCAGCTCAGGTCATGATCCCAGGGTCCTGGGATCGAGCCCCGTGATGGGCTCCCTTCTCAGCGGGAAGCCTGCTTCTCCCTCTCCCTCTGCCCCTGCTTGTGTTCCCTCTCTTGATATCTCTCTCTCTGTCAAATAAATAAATAAATCTTTTTAAAAAAGCAAGCTTTCTTAAAAAAAAAAAAAAAGGGAAAAAGATTTAGCAATAAAACCGTGATTGGGGTGCCTGGCTGGCTCAGTCAGTAGAGCACATGACTCTTGATCTCGGGGTTGTGAGCTCAAGCCCCATGCTGGGTGTCAAGGTTACTTAAAAAATAAAAAAAATTTTTTTAAAGATTTATTTATTTGAGAGAGAGAGCATGGGGAGTGGGAGGATGATGGGAGATGGAGAGAGAATCCCAAGCAGACTCCCCGATGAGTGTGGAGCCTGACATGGGGCTTGATCTCATGACCCTGAGATCAAGACCTGAGCCAAAATCAAGAGTCAGAATCTTAACTGACTGAGCCACTCAGGCTCCCCAAAATAAAATCTTTAAAAAAAACTGTGATAGCTAACCTTCTCCCCAAATTAATAGAAGAGTTATAAGATAAAGACAAGTAAGTCTCCCTTAGAGAGAACAAAATATAAGGAAATAAAAAGTAGGAATAAAGGGATAAGAATATTTGAAAACCAATCAGGAATAAGAGATCAAATCCACAAAGTTCAAAATCTCTCTTTCTGGGGTTCCTGAAAGGAAAAAACCCCAGAAAATTGTGGAAAGGAAAACACCAAAGAAGAAATACAGATTTGCTGGATTGAGAAGACCACTCACCCCTCTTCCAATCATGTAGTACTATGAATGAAAAAGACCAATCCCATACTTCTGAGAAATTTCATAACACTGCATGTAAATTTAAAAGTATTAAATAACAACATTGAAAACTCTTAGCTCTTACTCATTTTCAAAGTGATTTCACATTCACTATATCACTTTTTAAATGGCCTGAGGGCTTAAAGTGTCCCTTCACAGACAGGGAAACAAATACACTGAATACAACACCTGCAGGATGATATTCTTCCAACCTTTCACAGATGAGTAGCACAGTTCATTAACATTTAGGTGTATTTGTGTGTGAACACCTATGTGTAAATGGACAAGTCAATTGGAATGCCTGTCCGGTTTCCTGAACTAGACAATCAGTTCTCAAAGATACAGAGCATGGTTTCTAATTCCTTGCTACGCTTTCCAGGTCAGTTGAAGAAGGGCTTAGTCTGGGTGGATCTATATAGCTGACTGATGTGCTAACCAAGCCCGGAGGAAGATGTGACACCATGAGCTGTGATTGTTTTGTGCTTCTTTGCATAAGGTCCAGTAGGTGCAGTGAATACAGTCACCTTTTCTCATTGTGTATTCCTATGGGCAAGGTGTTAAATCTTCATGATCTTCAGATTCCTTCTGGAGGGTTTGGGTTTGAGTCACCCTCTTCAAATTCCCTTTCAATACCATAATTCCAGCATTCTGTCAATAAACAAAGAGAGTATCAGGTTAATGAGCCAACTGCATCAGTGAGAAGGGGTGTCCGGCATGGGTTTTATGCAATACCAAGGGGAATCAGGTGGGGAAAATAGCCCACGTAGAACTGTGTGATCAAATCTCCCCGAGAGTCCTCAGGCTTTTGGAGAATTAGTAAAAGGTGGACAGAGACAGAATGTAAATGGAAAGTTGAATAGCTTGCTCTCCAAGACAGTGGGTTGCAGTTTCCTGTACCCACAGAGACTTTATGAAAATAACCCTGTTGTAATGAAGAATTTTGCATTCTCAGCTGCTGGAGACTGTGCCAGGAATGGAAATGAAAGCAGTCACCGGTGGTGACCACAACCAGAAGCTGAAACCACACTCTAATTTTGCGTAAAATTGCTGGTTCTGACTCTTCTTTGCTTATGACTTCTCATTTGGACTGCAAGGATTACATCTAGTTGTGTAAAATAACATCTTGAGAATAGACTGAAGAAAACCATTTAGCCCTCAGTCATTTGTACTAACCCACAACATGTCAGTACACTGCTAGGGATGCAGCCTCCTGGATCAAAGTCAGTACCATGGCAGTCAGAGGTGGATGGAACATCCAAAGAGGAACTGAAGAAGGACAAGGAGGATGGAAAGGAAGGAGGAGAAAGAAGAGAATGGGGAGGAGTGAGTTTTCATTTGGGGAAAAAAGGTGGACTTACATTTATGTGAGTATCTTGACTAATCTTAGAATTAGCATGTTAAAGAAAATGGTGAGAGGTTATTACAAAGATGAGACTATCTACTGGCCTTATCGAGCCACCCTGCTACTGAGAATTGGCGACAAGTATTTAGCCTTTTCATCTAAAGACCACCTTTTGGGGGTGCCTGGGTGGTTCAGTTGGTTAAGTATCTGACTCTTGGTTTCGGCTCAGGTCATAATCTCAGGGCCCTGGGATCCAGCCCCACGCTGGGCTCCACACTCAACATAGAGCCTGTTTAAGATTCTCTGTCTCTCTCCTCCCCCCAAATAAATTTAAAAAAAAAAAAATGAAGACTTTTTGGAGGAATAAAACTAACCATTTTTTTAAGGATTTATTTATTTTTAGAGAGAGAGATGGGGGGAGGGGCAGAGGGAGAATCTCAAGCAGACTCCCCTGCTGAGCACAGAGCCTGATGTGGGGCTCAATCCCACAGCCCTGAGATTGTGACCTGAGCCAAAATCAAGAGTTGTACCTTAACTGACTGAGCCACCCAGCTGCCCCAAAACTAACAATTTTTAAATACGATTTTATGTATTTATTTGAGAGAGAGAGACAGAGATAGTGAGAGAGAGCATGAGCAGGGAGGAGAGGGAGAAGCAGGCTCCCCGTTGAGCAGGGAGCCCAATATGGGGCTCGATCCCAGGACCCTGGGATCAGACCTGAGTGAAAGGCAGAGGCGTAACTGACTGAGCCACCCAGGCACCCCAAAACTATTTTAATTAAAGAAAAAGTGGCATGAATTTCCAGTAAGAATTTCAAAGTGGAATTTGCCTCCTACTATTTGGTCTCAAGTTTCTCAACAGTCACCTATCGTAGCAGTGAGATGCAATACTCTTTTCCTATCACAATTATGACTTTCCACACAGTACAGATTCAAGATACAGTGGCTAAACGTGAGTAAGTGAATAAGTGAATGAGTAGAGAATGCTTGAAAAAATAGATCTTAGAAATAGGAGTTCTGCAAAAGTTGTGATAGATCAAATTGAAGCATTTATTTCAACCTGCACCCTATTTTAGAGTTGGTATTTGGGCACAACAAGCAAAAATTCCAGAAAGAACCTCCCAGGAAGACAGCTGAAATTTGACATTTGTTGGGCACATACTGTACACAAAGAAGGTGACATTTTAATGTAATTTATTTGAAATGCTTCCAGAAAAATTTAAGGCCATTATACAAAAACATTCATTTCAGTAAAACATTCACTTTCTTCCCATAGGCCAGCACTTAATGGACCTCTTGTCTCAACACACTGACCAAAGTGGCCGATGGCTCCTGCAGAGAATGATTCACTCTTTCCTCCACCATCAAACATCGGTTCTCAGCTTATGTCTGCTTCTATCTGCAGCAGTTCACTCACTTGCTAAATCAATAACAATTTGAGAAACAAAGCAATTTTAAATAAACTCATAATAGAAAAAAAAATTCACCATGTTTAAAATCTATAAATACAGAAATATGTTTTACAGGGTAAAATTGACCACAATATTTTTTCATTTTTGAAAAATAAGTAATATTACCTTGTTTTTATATTGATACATCTTGTCACACAGCTTCTTTGAATGCACATGTTAGATGTACATAATAAAATGATAACATAGCATTTACTGCTCTCTGTAAACTTGAAAGACACAGAAGATTAAAAAAAACCTTTTTGGCAATAATTTAGAATCATTACTACTAGTGCTGGTGTGGGAATAATTTTGCACAGGTCATCCTTAATATTTACACTCACAGGGAGCTTTTCTGTGTATTCAGTTAACTTTTTTTAAAGGTCGGCAGTCCACTCTGCATTGTAAATCAAGGTTAGACAAAGAGGTTACTAGTTTGGCTAACTGACCCTAATTAATCATAGAGTTAATTAAAATTGGCCTATGGAGAATGTAATTATGACTCTGATCATAGCACAGAGCCAGAGACGGCAAAGTGATGACCCAAAAGCAGAGCAGGAAAACCCAAGGCTCTGGCCTTTCCCAGAAGGGCACGGGACCTTGTTTTTCTCTTAATGTTTCCCGCCTAAGGTCATGATGAAGCACTTCTTCCAAACTCTTCCTCTCACATGTTTCTGTAAACAGAGTCACTGACTCACCTGTGGCCTCTTCCTCAATGCTCCAAAATATGAGCAGGCCTTGGCACATGAAACAAAATGATGATGGGCCTTCTTATTAGCCTGCTGAGTATTCCCAGGACTTTTGAGTTCTATTCTGGTGTCTTAGGCTAGAAATGGCTCTCTAAGGCAAGCCAGCAACTGTGACAGGTACCCCCCACCGCCCCGGTGCAAATGCATTTCAGGTCAAGATTCAGAGCTGGCGGCTGCTTTCATGCTGGTCCTTTCAAGGTCAGACACTGTTCCACGTCCTAATAGATTATTGCATCAAATTTGCACTTGATGACACTGCAAGGTCAACACAGTGCTTCTTCCTTTGCACAATTAAGTGTCCAGCATCCCCAGGGATGTTTTCATGCTTTCTGGTTGGACAACATTGAACCAAGTTCACTGCAAGGACTGATCTTTTCCCGTTTTCCTGCACATACCATCACAATACACGAGTGACTTCCTCATGCCCAGTTTGCCAGGCCCTGTAAATTCCATGCCTTCAGCTATCATGTCAAAGAGCTAGAAAAGCATTAGAGAAACAAGGGAGGATTCTCTTTAAGCAATCTACATGAAACAGTAGTTTAGAGATTCTTTTCTATTTTTTAAAATCCAGCAGGACAAGTGAAAGTAACTTGTTCAAGTACCTCTCCATCCCTCCAGACACTTGTGAAATGCAATACAGGGTAAGAGTTGCCACAGACCCCAGCTTACACGGACAGATTGGCAGTTACAGTACTAGGGATAAAGATACAAGATACAAGAGACGGGGTCCACACGGTCACAAAAGTATTAAAAAGTGCTTCTCCAAACCGTCCCGTGTGTGGAATGCAAACACTGTACAGTAAGATGCGCGGCTCTGTCAGACGTTGCTTTCGATGTACCTGCTGTTCCCACAGGAAGAGTCTGTCTGTTCCATGCGCTCACAGTCGAGGCTGACCTCACTCGTGTCCATACTACAGTCTGACTCACTGTCCGATTGGTCCATCTGCTCAAGTTTTGTTTCTCCCTGTGGCTCCCGGCTCCCAGTGGCAGGATTTAGGAATGGTCCCTCGGAGTCCAGAACCCCGGCCTGCCCAGCAGCACATAGAACCGTTTCTTTGGCTTGACGAATGCAGTTGAGCCACTGCTGTTTGTTGAAGGTGTCGTTGGCTTGTAGTGAGTGGGTCTGACTTTGGGAACCGTTTTTGAAACTTACTCTGAAGAAGTTTTTAACTAGAAATGAAAAATACATGTAAAAAAAAAAAAAAAAGGTCAACGGACAGGTATTTCCCTGGGAAATACCCAGGCCAAAGATAACCTATATAGTGACATTAACCCCCTGTACCTAGGGCAGACATCATTAATTGATTACAAAATGTGTCCCACTGGTCCAGGACGAGGCTCAGCTCTATGCTGCGGCCACCATCAAGCAACTGGATTTCACACCAGTGTAGCTCTCAGCTGCCCCTGAGGCTGGCAAATGGACATCAGTTTAAACCTGGGTGCATATTAAAATCCCCTGTGGGCTTGTTAAAAACAATGCCTGGGCCGTACCGTTAAGAGACTCGGATGCAGTAGGTCTCAGGTGGGCCTGATAATCTGGACTTTCAACCACTGCCCCAAGTTAGAGCCTTTTCAAGTTTAAGAAGCTCTGTGTAATACCAAACCATGCCCATGATCCTCCACGTGATAACAGTACTTGCACATATATTACCTAAATGATTGAGAAGATATGCAAAACTCAGAGCTGTTACAAATTCAGTTTCACTTTAAAATAAAAATACATTTTCATTACCTCCACAGGAGCTACGTGTATTTAAAAAAAAATGGTAGCGCACAATTTGGAAGACATTTTATTTAGTTTTACCAGCGCCTAACGGGCCCCGCATGACACATGCAACGCTTGGTTTGCAGAAGTGGGTGTGTTCAATCCCCTTGCACTATCCCTGGAGCCAACGGTCCGGGAACCACCACTTCAGATAAATTCAGGCTCCACCTTTTGCTCCTGGGCAAGCGCCTTAACTTGTGTATGACTCAGTGTCCTTATTTGTAAAACGTGAGAAATGAAGAGGACCTATCTTGTAAGATTATTATGAGGGCTAAAGGTGGTCATGCGTGTGCTTCTACAACACCTGGTACATAGTTCGTATTCAAGAAATAGAAGTTGCCACCACCACCAGGGCGGACGGACTAATGAGCAGGTCAGAGGCAGTACATATGAATTATGTTGACAATATGATGCCCCTGTTAACCCAAGAGGCTCAAATGTCACTTTCTCAAGGAAGACTTCTCTGATCATTTCCTCTAAAGCAAACCTCCAACTGTTATCCCTACTGGGCTTTAGTTCTCTTAACAGCACCTGAATATTTATTCATCATCTATCTCCTCTATCACAATGTAAGCCCTGTAAGGGGGAGGAATTTGATGGTTTAGTTTAGTTTGACCATTTAGTATACTAATGCCTGGAATGATATATACATAGATACTCAGTAAACACTGCCATTGTAGCTTCTCTTGGTTAATTTGTTTATTAAGCCTCAAGTTAGAGAAGCCCATTAGAATAATTACAGATGAATCCTCAACCCAGGTGACCATTCTTAATCCTCTTTAGGGATGATTGCCCTGGCTCTACAAAGCCACCAGTAAGCAACGGCTATTGACACAGGGGCTATCTGGTATTAAGCATACTTTTATCCAATGGAAGGAGAGAGAGAGAGGTAATGTAAGGAGTACCTATTACGTGCAGACAGGTTCACTTGCAGTATCTTAATCCTTATAACAACCTTATAAAGTTGGTATGCATACATGCCCATTTTACAGATGGGAAACTGAGGCTCACAGAGGTGGCACAAGGTTACACAAGCAGGGAGTAATGAGACAGCATTGGAATGTAGTGTGACTCCAAGGCCATGGCTACTTCTCTCTCCACCAGCCAGCCACTCCCCCTGAACCACCACCACCAAACCATTCAACAGGTCAAAGCCAACAGCCATCCATACTTCTCTCATTGTTGCTAAATGCCCCGCGCAGGGAGCCGCCCAGCCTCACTTCTCCATCCTGCAGGTCTTCCAGCAGAAGGTCCTTTACAGGGATCGGCTGCCGGTACAACTGATAGCAGAGCTGCTCATTGTGGGTGACAGCTCGAGTGATCACAAGCACTTCTTGGAACAGGAAAACATGCAGTTTCTAGAAGAAAAAAATCCACAGGATTTCCCTAAGCGACTGCCTAATAAGAAGTTGATTAATGGACTTCTGCAGATTAAGACGTCCCCAGGTACCAGCTTCACACTGTTTTATGAACTTCTAGGCTCAGATCTACCTCCAGAACAGAAGTTGGGCATCTTGGAGGTATTTCCAGATGCACCTAGTGCCTTTCCTGGAGGAGTGCCTCCCTGGGGTGCCCATGGAGAAGGCCTTTCTGCCTACAGACGTCTGCAGCCAGGACTGCCAGCTCCAAGGACATCGCCGTATTGCATATTCACAACCTGTGCAGACACACACGGCCTCCAGCTTCCATAAGAAAAAAATGAGAAGGGGGAATAGAATAAAGGGAGCACTGAAGGAAAAAGAAGTGAGTACCCCCACCCCCACCCAGGCTTTGGTTTATAGCACCCAATATAATCTAAGTGAGCATAATGAACAATAGTCTATAAAGGATACGACTGGCATATCAAAGCCTAATATTAATCTTTGCTTCCCAAACCCATAAAAACACTTGCTCCTTACGCCACAGAGCTGAGTATCAGCTCCATCCAGGCACTCCAACTCAGAACACTGCCCATTCCCGAGGGAACCAGACTGTGCTGTCATAGCCACAAAGAAAGATGATCAAAGAACTGGTCCTTCTCAGTTATGTTCCTCAGAACCTCAGTGTTCTGAAGAGGCTGTGCTTAAAAGGCTCAGATGACTGATGTGCGTTGTGGGCGAAAAGAAAATCTCAAAAATAAAGGCTTGTCTCAAACCACATCATGAAAGCAATTTCACTGGGTGGAGCTGGGGTAAATTGGCTCCATTCAATTCCAAGTGCTAGACTCTTCTCACAGTTTGGAAATGCTGACGAATTGAAATGAAAAGATCTACAACCTTTCTACCTGGTTCTGGCTTTCCAATGGAGATATTTGGGAATGTGAACCCAGGGGTCTCAAAGAGGTGGAAACTCACATTAGAATCTTGTTTTGGGGCAGGAGAAGCATATTCAGCATTATCAGACAATTTTATATTTGGGAGAAAAGAAACTTGTGGATCCCCCCCGCCCCCCACCTACTCTGACACACACACACACACACACACACGTACTTGTAGAAATTAAAGCTTAACCAAATGTTGGCTGGTGCAAATAAAACAGATAATTTTGTACTGGGTGGGAGGAGACTGAGGAGTGAAAGTTTATCAAAAGTGCATTTAAACAGAGTAAAGAAAAAATAACCAAGTTAAGGGCTTTTTTTTTTGAGGGGGATATAGGAATAATGTTAAGACTTCTTTTGGGGATGGGGAGGGAAGGGGTTGGTCATTGTTTTATATACTAAACATTAGGGGGTTTTTTGTTGTTGTTTTTACACTGTTTCTACTTCAACAATCCTCTAGCCAAGGTAGATAATTTGAATTCAGATTGTCTGGGAAACCTTTTAAAAACATCCCTTATTTATGAGTGCTTCTTTTAGCCCTCAAACTATCAAGCTTTTCTTCTGACACAGGGCTTTGTTCCTAAAGACTTCTATAATTCTACTGGGAAAAACAAATAACTAAAACAAATCTCCCACCCCAACTACTATCTTTGTTTTCAAAAATCTATCTGCCTGAAATATGAACTAGAGTTCATCTTTAATGCCCTAGGCATAGCCAACCAGAGAGTCTCAGTCCTTGACTGAGGGACAGAAAGAGCATAGGTCTCATTCCATGCAGTGATATATCATCCCAACCATTTCCCACAGGTCTTCTGAGAAAGAATGCTCAAGAAGCCAGAGATTCAGATTAGAAGTCCACCAGTATTTTCTGAAAATCAGCAAGCAGAATGCACTTTTCTAGCAATCAGTAACTCTGCAGTCAAACAAATACTTCTTCAAGCAGTGGCCCGTGACCAGTCTCAATACCTCTGCTGGACCATCAGCTAGTTGGATCCCCAGCAGCTCTGATAATGGGCGCTATGATATACACTCAGTGATTTCAAATAACATTTCCAAGCCTGCTCACAAATGCCACTCCAAAGTCCAGGTCAAAAGGTTGACTCTTAAATCATCAAAGCTTTATTAAGAACTATTCAATCTAGTTTTGGCTTTCATTCTAAGAGGTGACTAGATACTGAAGATGAAATATAATAAGAGATTCTCTTTTTTGATGGCTTTCCCAACATTGAATTTAAATATCTATTGTATATAATAAAATCTATACATTATATAAATATACATTTCTTTGTATAATATGTTTAAATTATAATATATAATAGACATATTAGCTTTAATTTCTACTGGCTACACATAAAAATAGCCTGGTGAGTTAAATGAATTTTGAGCTCTCATAAAATTCAAATCCATCCTTCCTTTATACAAATATTCATTCATTCATTCACTCACTCATTCACCTAACATTACTGAGTGCTTAGTACATGCCAGGTCCCCATAACAGGTGCTGGGGATTAACAAGACATGGACTCTACCCTAAAAGATCATAGTATAATGGAAGATACTGACAGGCATATGTTGGATAATTACAACCCACTGTAGTAAGTGCTCCAGGGAGATCTGTCCAAGTTGCTATGATAGGAGAGGAGGAACAATTTCAATATCTACTCAGGAATAAAAGCCAGGAAATTGGGCAGAGTTAGATATGAAGCCAGTTTTAAAGCAAAAACTGGTTTTAAAATGGCAATCTGTGGATGGGTACCAATGCATAAAAAAAGCAAAGAATTTCTCATATAGCTAAGCATTTCAACTTAAGAGCTGTTTTTCCGAGATCATATACTTTTTATATCCTGTTAAAATTACCCCTTGTTTTCTGATATCAAAGCCGGAGGAGATGTTAACTGTTCTGTATTTGCTATTGAAGGTCATGATCAAATGAAATACAAAGTTGGCAACCCAAATTCTTCTTGAATGTATACTGGTAGTGAAATTTTAATATATATATATATAATATATATTTTGTGAAATATATAAAAATATATATTAATTATAAGTTAGAAACACATAATACATATTATTTATATATAAATTACAATATATGAATATATATATACAATGTATATAATTATATATATATCCATATACATATGGGATCCTATAATACAAAAGACACTGGAAAGCAATTTTTGTCTGAAGAATGTGACCCTGGGTAAGGAAGGCAGAGTAACAGGGGGCTGGGCATCAAATGGATTAAGCATTGGGGGAGGCCCAGGATGAGACCACTGAGGGAGAGTAGCCACTCACCACCCCTCGATTGTTCTTCAGTTCTCCATGACAGCACAACACTCTCGAGTTGTCGATTAGAGAGTCTTTCTGGCCTTCTTCCAAGTAAAGAAGCCGCTCTTTGTAATAGCGGCACTCAGATTCCCCAGTCTTGGTGTTGATTTCTGCCACGATTCCCTGAATGATGTTTATCTATGGAAACAAAGAAGAAAGTATGGGGAAAGTAAGCAAACCATCCACACCAGTAAGTCCCAGGGGCTCAGCCTAGAAGGTCACCAAGATAGACTTGCATCTAATTCTGAGATTCTGTTATCCAACTTGCTGCTTTGGGAAAAGGCAAAAATAAATACATGCTTTGAATATATTGTGTCCATCTATCCACCTATACATATACACATAGATATACATATACACACACATATATATTTGTATACACATACAGGTATTTGTATTATATATAAAACTGATGTTGATGCATAATTTTATCTCAGAGGAAGAGATATAAGGTATAGCTTTTGATGTGCAGGACTCATAACCACTGAGCTCTATGTTGCACATTTCTTCAAACATGCTTACAATGTTGAAAATACAGGCATATAAAAACTTTAGCCAAGGAGAGAAAACAAAGCAGAATGTAGTAGTCCCAAAAAGGGATCATCTTTGGGGGTTTGAATCCAGTTTCAAGGTTTCTCTATATGTACTCAATCTAACCTACAAACAAGATTTGCAAATTGGGTGTGATGAAATGATTTGGATAGCTTTTTAGTGGTAAAACATAAATGATTTAAAAAGGACAGAGAACTAGAAATGGAAAGACACTAGGTGTAATGATGGGAACTGTTTGTCTATATACATACACTCACACCCATGCCTAGAGCACATGTGAATATATTAGGGGTGGAGGGATTTCAGATCAAGGGTGGACACACTGTTGTTAATACAAAATGAAACAAAACAAAGCAATAAGAGAACAGCACTCAGACACAATCAGTGGGCATTTATTCTGATATGTTGTTGTTCTATCATATCATAGATAATATGTCTAAAAGATATAACATATTAAAAAACAAAGAACAAGAAATTAGTTGAGTAAAAACTCAAAGACACCAACCAAAGGCAAAATGATGACTTCCTCAGCAGGGACCTCTGTCCTCTAAGAGTGAAAAGACCAGCAGTCCCATCTTTCTTGTGGTAGTATTATTTTTTAAGTTTTTATTTAAATTCCAGTTAACATAGAGTGTAATAGTAGTTTCAGGTGTACAAATGATTCAACACTTACATACAACACCCTATGCTCATCACAACAAGTGCACTCCTTAATCCCCATCATCTATTTCACCCATCCCCTACCCACCCTGGCAACCATCAGTTTGTTCTCTGTAGTTAAGAGTCTGTTTCTTGGTTTGCCTCCCTCTCTCTCTCCCTCTCTCTCTCTCCCTCTCTTCCTCCCTCTTTTTTCCCCCTTTGCTTGTTTCTTAGATTCCACATATGAGTGAAATCATATGGTATTTGTCTTTCTCTGACTGACTGATTTCACCTAGCATAATACTCTCTAGCTCCATCCATGCCGTTGCAAATGGCAAAATTTCATTCTTTATGGCTAATATTCCATTATATATAGTTATATATATGTATACACACCCCCCCCCCCATGTTCTTTATCCATTCATCAGTCAATGGACATTTGGGCTGTTTCCATAATCTGGCTATTGTAGATACTGCTGCTGTAAACACTGGAGTGCATGTATCCCTTCGAATTAGCATTTTTGTATTCTTTCCGTAAATACCTGGTAGTGCAATTGTTGGATCATAGGGTAGTTCTATTTTTAACTTTTTGAGGAACCTCCATACTGTTTTCTACAATGGCTGCACCAGTCTGCATTCCCACCAACAGTGCAAGAGAGTTCCTCTTTCTCCACATCCTTGCCAACACCTATTGTTTCTTGTGTTGTTGATTTTAGCCATTCTGGCATGAGTGAGGTGGTATCTCATTGTCGTTTTGATTTGTATTTCCCTGATGATCAGTGATGTTGAGCATCTTTTCACGTGTATGCTGGCCATCTGTATGTCTTCTTTGGAAAAATGTCTATTCATGTCTTCTGCCCATTTTTAAATTGGATTATTCATTTTTTAGGCATTGAGTTGTATAAGTTCTTCATATATTTTTGATACTAACCCTTTTTCAGATATGTCATTTGCAAATATCTTCTCCCATTCTGTAGGTTGCCTTTCTTTCAGTTTTGTTGATTGTTTCCCTCACTGTACAGAAGCTTTTTATTTTGATGAAGTCCCAATAATTAATTTTTGCTTCTGTTTCCCTGGCCTCAGGAAACAGATCTAGAAAGAAATTGCTACAGCTGTTGTCAAAGAGGTTACTGCCTGTGTTCTCCCCTAGGATTTTGATGGTTTCCTGTGTCACAGTTAGGTCTTTCATCCATTTTGAATCTATTTTTGTGTATGGTGTAAGAAAGTAATCCAGTTTCATTCTTTTGTATGTTGCTGTCCAGTTTTCCCAACACCATTTGTTGAAGAGACTGTTTTTTCCATTGCATATTCTGTCCTGCTTTGTTGAAGGTTAACTGACCATAGAGTTGTGGGTTCATTTCTGGGTTTTCTGCTCTGTTCCATTGATCTATGTCTATTTTTGTACCAGTATCATACTGTCTTGATCACTACAGCTTTGTAATATAACTTGAAGTCTGGATTGTGATGTCTCCAGCTTTGCTTTTCTTTTTCAAGGTTGCTTTGGCTATTCAGGGTCTTTTGTAGATGCATACAAGTTTTAGGACTGTTTGTTCTAGCTCTGTGAAAAATGCTGTTGGTATTTTGATAGGGATTGCATTAAATGTATAGACTTCTTTGTTAGTATAGACATGTTAACAATATTTGTTCTTCCAATCCATGAGCACGGAATGTCTTTCCATTTCTTTGTGTCATCTTCAATTTTTTCATTAGTGTTTCATAGTTTTCAGAATACAGGTCTTTCACCTCTTTGGTTAGATGTGTTCCTAGGTATTTTATTGTTTTTGGTACAATTGTAAATGGGATTGATTCCTTAATTTCTCTTTCTGCTGCTTCATTATTGGTGTATAGAAGTACAACCAATTTCTATATGTTGATTTTGTATCCTGAGAATTTACTGAATTCATTTATCAGTTCTAGCAATTTTTTTGGTGGAGTCTTTTGGGTTTTCTACATAGAGTATTATGTCATCTGCAAATAGTGAAAGTTTGACTTCTTCCTTGCTGATTTGAATGCCTTTTATTTCTTTTTGTTGTCTGATTGCTGTGGCTAGGACTTCCAGTACTATGTTAAATAACAATGGTGAGAGTGGACATCCCTCTCTGTTCCTGACCATAGAGGAAACACTCTCAGTTTTTCCCCATTGAGGATGACGTTCGCTGTGTGTTTTTCATATATGGCCTTTATGATTTTGAGATATGCTCCTTCTTTATTTTTTTTTTTAAGATTTTTATTTATTTATTTGAGAGAGAGAGAATGAGAGAGAGCACATGAGAGGGGGGAGGGTCAGAGGGAGAAGCAGACTCCCTGCCGAGCAGGGAGCCCAATGTGGGACTCGATCCAGGGACTCCAGGATCATGACCTGAGCCGAAGGCAGTCGCTTAACCAACTGAGCCACCCAGGCGCCCCGAGGTATGCTCCTTCTAAATCTACTTTGTTGAGAATTTTATCATGAATGGATGTTGTACTTTGTCAAATGTTTTTTCTGCATCTATTGAAATGATCATGTGGTTCTTATCCTTTTTTATTAATGTAGTGTATCACGTTGGTTGATTTGCAAATACTGAAGCACCCTTGCAGCCCAGGACTCATGTTATTAGCAGGGAAGAGCTTAACAGATGAGAAATGGTAATAAGGTCCTGTCTTGGTTACATTTACTTAATGGAAAAACAAAACAATCTCTGAAAAGCAAGATTTTTTTAAAAGAAGACTTTACTCAGTGAGAACTTACCAGATCTTGTAATGTGTTAAAGTGGCAGTGAATTCTAAGATTGTTAAGTGATTATTTTTCACATTCTAGTGAAATGATACCTTCTGCCCAAAGCCAACTGGATAAAAACTTCTACCCAGTTAGAACTCTGGCATTTCCAGGCAAGTCTGACAGAAGATCTTACAGCTTTGAGTTGAAGTCTGGTGACTATACCCTATGAACAGATGCATAATCTATATATTTTTGTAGCTATTATGAGTTTTAAAGCTCATTTATTCTTTTTTCTATCTCCCAAATTTTGGCGGTAGCACTACTTAGATAATAAATACATCTTTTAAAAAAACACAGGCTTTTTGTAGCATAAAATAATCTTTTTGGTTTTTAATGTCAACGTGACATTAAATATAAGTCCTATGAAATTAATCTGAGTTTTAGTAACATAAAACAAATAATAAATAGAACGCTTTGATACACAAACTTTCTCTTTGTTTTTTCCCCCTCTTGGTTTTCAGACATGCCTGATTATTGTTACTTTCAAAAAAACAAAAAAAAAAAAAAAGAAAAGAAAAGAATAGGAAACTTCACAAAACATACTAAAGTTATGACTCATCCTTCAAATTAATTCAATTAATGCTTGTTGAGCATCTGTCCAGTGTCAAACTAGATGGTATCATTCAAAGAAATGCGACAGGATCCCTGCCCTCAAGAAGCCTTAAAATATATGGAGGTACCTGACAAATTCTTTTATGTCTACCTTAACCTTTGGCCTTACTACTTTTTTAATGTGTAGTGGAATCCATACTTTTTCCTTGCTTTTAAAGGTCTTAGCATTAATTGCTGTGGCTCTTTTTAGAGTTTACTATTACTAGGTTTACCTGGAATTAACTGGGTCTTGAGTCAATTTTCTGAGGTTCCTGCAAATATCCAGGAGATCAGAAAAATGATGTACTGTAGGCATAAATATGTGTGCACGTCCTAATTTAATTCAGGGACTGAACAGCTGACATATCACATGAAGATTAATAAACTCACGCAGCCCAGTGGTTCCTCAGGCAGCTATGACTACTGTCTGATGCTACTTCTTTCTCTGGTGTTTGCAAAGCTAGAGAGACCAAATGATAGAAACAATCAGCGTTATTCCACATTCTTTGTGGACATTATAATAGCACTTCTGGGCCTGCTTTCATTTATTAAAAATCTTGTTTTGTAGTTATATCCACCTCTATACCATAAGTATCTAATCTCTGCACTGTTTTTTTTTTTTTTAAGATTTATGTATTTGAGAGAGAGAGAAAGAGAGAGAGAGAATGCAAGTGGGGGGAGGGGCAGAGGGAGAGAATCTCAAGCAGACTCCCTGCTGAGTGCAGAGCCCAACCGGGGCTTGAGCCCAAGACCCATGAGATCATGGTCTGAGTCAAAACCAAGAATGGGACGCGCAACCGACTGAACCACATAGGTGCCCCCTGTATTGGTTCTTGAGAGGTATTTATTGTGCAGAATCACAGGGAGGAATAAAGGTCTGCCATCTGCCAATAGCAAACAGTCACGGTGGTTGTGCATTCAAGTTCAATTTATTGTTGCACCTCTCATCAGGGTTCAAACTGAAGGGAAAGGACCAGTAAAGCAAGACGATGACAAATACCTGGTAACAGAGCAGGGGTTAAGCCCATACATGCCGTAATCATCATCCTCAAAGCAGAATCTAAAAGCCCTGTCTGGTTCCTTGTGCGGTAATGTCATTTATTCGTAGGCTTGTGACATGAACCAAGAATAGCAGCCAGCACGGCAGGAACAGCAGGACTGTTCTTCTCATTGATTCCAGTGATATATTTTTTTTTTCAGGAGTTGGGGAACAGTGGCGGGCGGAGGGAAAGGATGGTCTGCCAGATCATTTGTTGCCTGAAACAATCCTTAGAATTTAAAATGATAAACAACCAGACCTCTGGACTATCTAAATATCTGAAGTTCTATTTAAAAATGTTCTCTTTTGGGGGAAATTTCTATTAACCCTCCGAAACACTGTTAAGAAATTCTAATAAAGATGTGGTAGTTTATGCATTGCAGTAAAAGCAAGACCTTTTTTTAGATCTAATTATAGGACTGGACACTTGGTGTAGAAGCAATTTACTTATTAGGTTCTCTGATTTTTCCCTTTTCATAGGTGGAAAATCTATTCAGGGAACATGTAATTCAAGCTACGTTGGTACTATGGGTTTTATGTTTATCAGGCATTCACAATGTACCCAAGAGTACAGGGCTAAATATTTCTGTTCATCTGGGTTAATGCCCAGAGGATTTTGAAAAGAAGGAGAAAAAATAAGCCCTAACATTGCTGTGCCTCTATTGTATAAGTGGGCATTTAGAAGACTTGCTTTGCAGACATTTTCAAATGCGGGTCTGCCACGCTTCACACACAAATCTGCCTGAGTAACTAGGTGCAGATTCAACTTTTAAAAATGACATCACATTTTATGCACTAGGGAAACTGGTACATCCTTTCATATTGCAAACAACCGTCTTCTTATCTGTTTTTAGATCCAAACTTTAGCTCACTGGGCAATTTTAGAAACAGAGCCTTCTTCTCTCATGCCGCATATTAAAAAGAAGAAATCTTAACCGTAAAACTCAGAGCAGGCTCACGTGCTTCAAAAAAGTAATTATTTAGACTAGCTCGAGCTCCCTGTTGTATTCATTCCTGCAGACCACACACTTGCTGGGATGAAATATGGACAGGGGGCAACTCTACTGCATGCTTCCCGGTAGTGAAAAACAGACATGATGAAGTGGGATGGGCCTCCTCCCCCGCGCCTGTGTCCTTTATCCGCGCTGGACTGGGGACCTGGTCTGTGTGTGTTTGCAATCAGTCAAGAGCATCTTTCCTCTATCTTCTCTATCCCTACAAGGAGGCACCTGGCCCAGCTCTGTAGCCATGAGGCCTCTCCACAAAGCCTGGGGGCCGGACAGCTTTCTATAATTCTACAGGCAATGGGGGCTCAGGGAAGCATCCAGGCTTTCAGCTCCGTGGTACAGGATCATAAAATAGTGGAACAGGCAAATAACAAATACTGTTATTTGCAGTCCGCACTGAGAGATTTGACATCAACCTCATCACGTGCTGGCTCCGGACCCAGGCAAGTTATTTAAGCCCTCCAAGCCTCTTCTGGAATATGGACAGCTATCCAACCCTAACAAGGACAGCTATCTCATAGATTATTATAAGGATTAAATGAGATATATAACTTATAAAGTGATTACATAAAGCTGATTTACTAGGTACTCAAGAAATGTCAGCAGGTATTGCTAGAATTATTATTGTTGTGATTACTACTAATTATTATTAAACCCCTCTCTGGGAGGAGATAGACGGTTTGCTCATAGGTTTCGTGGCTTCTGATTTTCAAGTCACTTATGCATATCCTCTTTCTGTTCCAGATGCAGTCAGGGAACGAGCCCTTTGAACTGGTCTCTAAGCCTCCATCTCCATGGCTCCTCCCTCAGCAGGTTTCCATGACTGCATGCCTGGACCACTGCAGCAGCCTCTCAGCTTGCCTCCCTGTCCCTAGCCCCTTCCTCCGCTGTCCCCTATCCTACAGACAAGGAGACTAACATGTCCAAGCTTCCACAGCTTGTCAGCAATGGAGCTGGGATTTGAACCCTGAATCCCAGCTAATTAGAAAACAACAAACAAACAAAGGAAAAACATCTATTTAAAATCCTCTAGAACCTGATCTGAACTCCCATCTTCTGCCTTCTCTCCTGCAGCTTCCTCAGAGTATCCTCAACTGTGGGCAGACTGATCCACGGTAGTCCCCAGGCATTTCTTTGTCCTGTCATTCCTCTAAAGCTTTGCTCAGGCCACTGGCTCCTCCTGGCCTGCTATCACCTCTGCCCTGTCCCGCAGAGCACCCCAATCAGAACCAAGCTCTCCAGACAGTACACTCACTGTTCACAATATTCTCATGAGATGGATCCCTTTTCCTGGTCTTCTACTGCTGCTAGGGAAGAATCTCTCTCTCTCTCCATACTTAATGAACATTTTCTGGTGAGCAGGAGGTTTGACTAGGTCGGTCCCTCACTGCAGCCAGAGGCCAAAGAGAGCTGGATCTGAAATGGGTGTCGACTTCAAAAATGGGCTCAGGGGCTAAGGTAAGAGGCAACTCCGATTTGCTAACTAAACAAAGATATTCAATTTAAAATCTCCAGAGATCTTAACCCTCGCAACTGTTGTAACAGATTATAGTTTAGTATGAATTGTAATTACAGATTACAGAGTCACCTATACAAAATCAAGAACTTTTAGAAATCAAAGCGACCTTTGGGTGTATTTCACATAAACACTGCATTTTATAGGCTGGGAGAGTGAGGCAGAGAGAGAAGTCACTTTCAAAATCAAAACATGACTGATGGCAGCACCAAGCCTAGAAGCCAAGACCCCTGGGTCCCGTGTACCCAGACACCCACGATTCACCCACGCACCCAATCTAGACACAACGGAGAAAACAAGGTAAAGACAGAAAGAAGCAGATGAACTTACAGCTTCTTCCAGGTGTTGCTGATCTGGATTATCATTTGGTGTGTGCCTCAAGATTTCTCGAAGAAGCAGAGGGTATTTCACTAGACGGCTCCTTGGAATATCAAGAAAATTCCAGAGATCTAGCTTGCGGCTAAAGGGGGATTCTAAACATCGCTGTAGGAAATCCTGGACTCGGTGGTCTTGTTTTTTGTGGTCCAGCAGAGCTTTGGCGGCGACTTGATTGCTGCAGTAGCTGTCATAGGAGCTGAGACAAGGCAGCTAGGAAAGGAACATCAAAACAGGGTTGGAGTGTGGAGCTAACTATGCTCTGAAGCTACCAGTGAGTATCACTTGTGCAGACTGAACAAAACCTAACCGGTCTCCAGGCCTGGCCAACATTCCTTTATGTGCATGACTAGAGGAGACAGACTAGTGCAATCTTCAAAATTGCAGGCAATGAACAGTTTTTAGGGTTTGGCTTGCTTGCACGAAGTTATTTTCTTAGTTGCACGTTTAGTTTCTTGATTGTTAAGACCCCAACATAATTTGTTTGGGTTCCTGCCAATCTAAGCTAGAAGCAAAAGAACCAGAAAAACTGCATACGCATACAACTCAAAATTTTCCTGAACTTCCAAAAGTGTCTGGTGAGGGGAAAGCTTCCTATCTTTAAAAACAAACAAATGGGATTTCTTTTAAAATTATTCATAAGAGGGAGCCTGGGTGGCTCAGTTGGTTAAGCGACTGCCTTTGGCTCAGGTCATGATCCTGGAGTCCCGGGATCGAGTCCTGCATCGGGCTCCCTGCTCGGCAGGGGGTCTGCTTCTCCCTCTGCCCTCTTCCCTCTCGTGCTGTCTCTCATTCTCTCTCTCAAATAAATAAATAAAATCTTTTTAAAAAAATTATTCATAAGAAACTCATCTGGAGGACTTAGTGGCATAACAAGAAAGCAAGGAGTCAGACTTCATGGCCCAGCCCTTTGCAAGGCCTGGTGCAAGCAACTCTGTTAGCTGAAGGTTACCTGGTTCCAAGGTGGGCCAATTATAAAGAACTCCACGAAGTTAAAGCAAAAGTATAATAAAAAAAATTAGATGCAGGAAGCATTTAGAAAAATCTTTTAGATTAGATTCTTGTCTATACCTCATGGTTAACATCACAACACCATGCAAAGAACATTTAAGCCTAAAGACTTTGGAACACTTCAACTTCACTATCTTCCTTCCAGCAAAATACTAATTTCCCTGCAGTCACACTGTGCAAACACAGAGTCAGAGACCCAGTAAGAAGGCTGTTCATCTCCCTTTTCCACTCCTTCCTATTAGTGGCACCCAAGGCTCAGCATCCTAATGCATGGGCTGTCAGCTTCCGGAAAGGTACCAGAGGCGATAAAAAGCAGCCAATGGCCCTGCTGTGTTTGCTTCTGTCCCTTGCACTAAGGAGCCACATTTACCACAACCCCTGCCCTGTGGAGGGATTCAGAGCAAGACAGTGGCAAGAGGGTCTTTAATTTCTGCATCCTCAAACTTTGCATTGGGCTTACCATCCACAGACATTCAAAGTTTATATTCTGAATGAACAAATAAATGAGTGTTTAATGGTTTCCAGATTAGGTAATATTTGATGGCCTGGGAACATGGCTTAGAAATAAACTGTGGCAGCATCTGAACAATGGGTCAAAGTGTAAGTGTTCTGGTGCTTCTTTTATACCTCTTATTGAAATTATTTTCTCAGTGACTGAAACCAAAAAAAGATACCAAGGAAGTAATGTTTAAGTTCACTGTCGAGTTTAACATTCTTTGGAAAGGTCTACCTTCCTTATGTGTCATAAAAAAAACACAAACCTTTATTTGTGTTAAAAAGAGCTGCAGAAATTCTTTCCTCAACCTTATATTTGAAAGTAATGATAATTGCTACTTACACACTTACACACACACACACACACACACACACCCCAGAGGTGGTATTGTGGCTTGTAATTTAGATTTTCAGAGTTAATTAAAAAGAGCTTCAGGCCCTCTTAATTCCATTTCCACTTCCTCGCCTTTTAAAAAGACCTGGAAATGCCCAATGTTTTCATTATGGAGAAACAAATCAGCAGTAACTATCAGATGTAAACCAGTGAGGAACTCTGACCACACTGCTGCTCATTGTCCAATGGGCCATTACTCTCTGATCCTGCCGCCCCCACTGCCATGGCAACCCGAACCAGCTCTGGTCCTGTTCACACCTGACAGGGTGCTCATTTCCTGGGCATGACCTGAAAGGCGATCTGGTTCAACCCCACAGACTAGAAAGGGCCGTGAGTGATGATTTGATAGGGAAGGAAGAATGTACACATCCTGGTTCCCAAATACATACACATTCACTTACATAAAATGTGAGAGGTGATAATACAGTGGTTAAGCGGACAGACTCTGGAACCAGGGATAATCATGCTCAAAGCCTAACCTGGATAGTTACTAGTCAGGTGACCCTTCTGAGCCTCAGTTTCCCCACTTATAGAATGCATATACTATTGTCCTCCTATCTTCTAATGAGATAAGGCAGACAAAAAAAGAGCTTGGCTTCTGGGTAAGAATCTGTAAGTACCAGCTATTAAAGCAAAAGTATAATTAGTAAAAAATTATTTTTTGTTGTTATTTATCCCTAGGATATTTTTATTGAAGAAATTGTGGTTTAGAGAAGCAAAACTACTTGTTCAGCTAGAGACAAAACCAGTCTGCAGCATGTTCTTCCCCCACCCTTCTCCCCAAAGCTCTGAACTCCTCGACAGCTCTTTAAATAGACCATCAAGAATTTATAAAGGAAACTCTTTCACTTTCTTTAGAAATTCTTTCTATCTCCCTAACCTTGTGAAAAGCAGCAGAACAAACCCATTTTTTTTGCTTCCATGTACCCTGCCTCTCTCTATAGAATTAAAATTTAATTAGAACCCAAATTAACATGAGAACTTGCTGCCTTGGAGAGCTTGTAAATTATTCAAATTTATTAAATTATATAAATTAAATTATACAAATTTATTACGGAAAAAACGTTAGCATGAAGATAAGTCGCTTGGGAAGCTGTTTCTGTCCAAGAGGGGAAATGTATGGGATCAGGCCTACACCGGTGCGGGAGATGGATCCTCAGTGGCCAGGGTTGCTCCCTGAGGAAACCACCACTCTGCTTCAGGCCTTCAAAGTACAAGTAATTGATTCATTCTAAGGTCAAAAGGACTGGCCAGGCCTGTCCCATTTGGGAGGCTCACTTGTTTAAAAGGGTTTTTGTTTTTTTTTTTCCCACCTTTTTTCCCCGGGGGAGGGGGGAAGTTGGGAGTGGGGATGGCGAATAAATCAATTTTTCATGGGTCGAATGGGCTCTGACTTTTCTCATTCAAAGTCCCCTCAGATGTTTATTTTGTTCCGTTAAAAAGACCAGAACTCAAACAGATGTACCCCTTGGTTTACAGTTCCCACTCGCAGGGACACATCTGCAGTTAAAAGTGGGAAAACATTTAACAGCTCGTCGGGCCTGATAAATAAGGGCCGTTTCTCATGAGGTCTGGTCACAATGGGCCAGTTGTTTAATGTTAGGCTGCTCTTCAAGCTGTAAGTCCCCATTTGATGTCTGAAGGGTTCAGAGAGCAGTGGAAGTGGTCACATTTCCTTTGAGTAGGTACAGAAAAGGCCTGCAAAAGCCACCCCAGATCAAACCAATTTCCTAGTAAGAGTGGCAAACACTTATTTCAGAAAAAAAATTAATAACAAGGCAAATTAATAGCAAGGCAAAACCACTTCTGCTTCTGGTGTGAACTGACAGTCTGTATATGATGCCTATGGAAACCATGTCGTTGTATATCGCCATCTCGTCAAAGACAGCAGCATCGTGCTAATTCTGGAGTGTGGCCTCACTGGCCCCCCCCATGCCCATCAGAGCAGCCCACAGACTCAGGAAGTTTAAGAAATATTGAGGCAGAATCTCTCTTCTCATTACACCTTCTCTGTCTCCAGCTGGCTGGCTCTCTTTAGAGAAATTTCTTTGAAGGCTAAAGAAGTTAAAGCACCTACCACGTCTTATAGTAAGTCAAAAATATAAGATGAATGAGCTCTCCTGAAATATTAAGGCACATTTTCTAAATTATTCATCTTAGAACATTGCTTGCCTTTCAGATGCCCTTGGGGTATTTTGGCCTCCATGCTAACAGTGACTTCTGAACTAAAGCTATCTAAGTCATGAAACCCTCAAACTTTCTTAATCAAGGCAGTAATTGAGAAGCAGAAGTTAGGATAAGGGATCAACATCAAAACACAGGAACCGGAAGGCCTAGGAAGGTTAAAATATAACTACAAGTGTAACTGGATCAAGAGAACTCACATGGTGACAGTAGGATTTATAACCTTCACAACATTCCCCAAACAGTGGGATGACTCTAATGCTGGCTGCTGTAGCAATTCCTGCCTATTTTTCTGGAAGACTGTGTGGATCAGAGAGATGAGAGATCTAATCTTGCCTCGAAGAAGTCATCAAAGTAATCTGCTTTTATTACCTGCTTCATGACAAATGAAAACCACCTGGAGCTGGGATGGTACACTCAAGGACTCAAAGGCAACAGAGGTATGGTAATAGGGAATGGTGGGGACTGTGGCAAAATAGAAAGTGCATGCCTGGTCTAAGGTACACTAAGCAAATGAACGACCACATTATGCACCCAACAAAACCCAAATTCAGCCCTAAGACCATAAATTTAGAACCCCTAATCTAAGGTCACAGCTGATTTCTTTGTTTAATTAGGAAAGGGGATGGGTTATTTGGGATGAAGGTCAACATGACACCAAGCCTTCCTATGAAGTTACTCAAAATCAGATATATGCTAAACATTAACAACATTTAGTATTACCTTGTGTATGAAACTACATTTGACCATGAGAGGTTTTTTTTGGAGGCTGAATGAAAGTGCCTTTTTTTTGGTGATGGATAAGAATATGTCTGTGAATATTTACTGGAATAGAAATGATAATAATTGTATTAGTAGTAATTGGCCTCAATTGAATATTAACTAGTTTTACCTTATTTGATGTAAAACTAGTAACCATTTCATGTGGGCCTTATTTTATTGCAAAAAGGCCATGTTATCTTTAAATGCTGCAAATTTGTATTAAGAAAAAAAACCTGTTTCCATGGGTTGAAGAGATAAAGCCTAAATATGATAAATTTTGCTAGGAATTTGCCATTTATGATGTAAAACTAATATGTGCCAATACAAAAAGTCTAGCTAAAATGAAACTCTATCTCTGTTATTGAAATTTATGCTCAATCAAGACTAGAGAACTTTTCTTACCCAGCCCACGAGGATGTGACCGACATGTTCGGTGGAGCCATCAGGCTTCCGAGCATCTCGAAGTTGACTAAGGAGCTCTGGTTAAAAAAATAACAACAACAAAACAAAACAGAATGCTTATTTTGTTAGGCATTCAAATATGAACAAGACTGGAAGTAGATTCTGGGTTAATCACATTATTACATAATCATGACTTGTGAGACGACTCAATTAAGGCTACAAGTCATGACTCATTCTGGGAGCAAAATTATACCTTCGTGTAGAGGAATGAGAGAGTCCAGTGTTCCAAAAATTTGATTCAACTCTTGTTCTGTCATTATGGAGAGTTTCAGCATGGGGTCATGATAGGCCTGCACAAGAAGGGCAAGAGATAGAAGCAAACATTTAAAATCAGAGGAAGCTAGTGGTTAATGTAAATGGCGTCGGTGTCTGTGAGACCCCACATAATAACAAAATATTTGGCCCTCCCCAACAACTTCTTCCAAAATGCTGCGGAGACAGCAGATCGGTGTGGCCAGAGCAGATGAGAATCCAGCATTGCCTTGAGCCATCTGTGGTTATTGATAAACCAAAGCAGATTTTAAAAAAGCTTTTTTATTCTAGTATATCATACATCTGGGCAAGGGCACAAACCCTAAGTACAGAGCCGATCTGATTTGTATAATGTTTTAAAATTTAACGTTATTGAAGACCTTGCAGCTTGAAAAGCTGCTAATTTATACAGAATTAGTTACTAGCAGGTTCTTTTTCAATTAGTCCCTATTTAAACTAAGCAAAGAAAGAAAGAAGAGGCCATTAAGAGAAGGAAGGGAAAAATGAAGGGGGGGAAATTGGAGGGGGAGACAAACCATGAGAGACTATAGACTCCGAGAAACAAACTGAGGGTTTTAGAGGGGAGGGGGGTGGGGGGATGGGTTAGCCTGGTGATGGGTATTGAAGAGGACACGTATTGAATGGAGCACTGGGTGTTATACGAAAACAATGAATCATGGATCACTACATCAAAAACTAATGATGTATGGTGACTAACATAACATAATAAAATAAAATTTAAAAACAGAAAAGAAAAGAAAAGTGATGGCATCCTTTATGACTGCTCTGAAGCCAAAAGACCAAAATCTCTGTCAATCTTATCATCTCTTATTAATGATAACTAAACAAGAACGCACAATCATACCCAGGTCACTGTAACAGAGTGCAAAAACTCAGATGGCACAGTCCTGCTTCCAAGAAGATTTATAAAGCTAATTGGGAGGTAAGAAAAACACGTGGATAATTAGACATATGTTTTTAAAAGCTCAAGACTAAAAACAGGAGAGATGTCCCATAGCAGCAAAAGCTGATCAAACTATAACTGCTTAGAGGGTGAGAGAATTAAAGCTGGAGTAGTCAAGGGAGATTTAAGAGCTGCCTGGCATGGAGAAGGAGGCAGTAAATACTGGTGAGGAATGAATTGAGATTTGAGCTAGTTCCTGGAGGATGGCTGGATATGGATGGTTGAAAGGGAAGGAAGGGTTTCCAAGAAGGTAGAACCACCATAAGCAAAAGGACGGCAGTAAAACATCCTTAAGGTGCTTAGCTTCGGGAAATCTTGAAACAGAGTTAAATGCCTTCTTTGTCATCTCTGTCTTCCTCCTCCTCCAGCCCTGCCTAAAAACTCAGTTTCTTGGCTGTGTCCAAGCGAAGTGTGGATGGCCATCTCCTGGGAATGCTACAGACGGGACTTCATATTAGCAGGAATCTGGACTAAGGACTTAAAAGAAGGGAGGCATCTTTCCAACCCTGTGATTCTTTAAAGGGGGCTGGGAATATCAGATGAAGGAGTCTGGATTTCAGCCTTCGGGGGGTGGGGGCGTCACTGGAATGGAAAGGTTTTGAGGAAAGTTTGTTGTCCAGACAATACAGGCTACAAGGCTTGGGTTTCCTCTCCCTACCCACACACAATGTGATTAAAACACAAGTTTCTATATAAAAGACCCTAATTCACATGATAGTATCCAACTGCCTCACTTAACCACTTTCTCTACTTAGGTGATTCAAGTGGCTTTATTTCTAAGACATCGTTCCAGTTTCAGACATCTGCATGCTTGCTCCCAAGGGTAAGGAGCTCCGCCATGAGAGACAATGAAATATATGGAAAGTCAGGCCTCTACGAACACTTCCTGATTAAACTCAAATATTCTTTGAGGTGCATTAGAGACATGCACAGGAGAAACCCTACAGGCACCAGATGCAGAGAACCTTCTTGTTTTGAGCCATTTTCCCCACTACTTGGTTTGTGCAGATTCTTCTCAATTGTTGATGATCTGTCTTAGTCATAAAAAGAGTGCTCCTAAAGCACAATCTTAGAATTGTGAAATTACTCATAAGAGGGAAAAAAAAAAAAAAAAGGAGGTGGCCCAAATGACTACTGGATTCAAATTTACCTTTTTTGCCAATTTCAAGTCCTCTATCAAGTCTTCTTCCCCTTGGGAAAGCTCAAAGATTGCCTGCAAGCAAAGACAAAACACATTCACTGAACACTCCATTTATGAGACCAAATTCAAACAGTGCTGGTTCTGTTGCTCAAAGCCCCAGATCTACCCATTTCTTAAACATTTTTAAAGGATTCCTTAAAAAGTTAAATTAACCTGCAGCAAATGCATCTAAGTAGCTAAAACCTATAAAGGAAGAATTTTGCAAAACTTCTATATAAATAAATAAAAAAAAAATAAAAAATAAAAAAAAAATAAAAACCCATTTGTGGAAGAAAGGGGTTCCACATATGTTTCCAACCCAGTAAGTCATCTTTCACATTACAGAACTTGGGTGCAGCCAGACAAGAGGGAACTATTTTAGGTAAAATAATGACAGTTGGATTCTGCGTCTCTCATGTGTGCAGCAACCATCATAAACAGGTCTGTTCTCAGTGATGGGCATGGCAGTATTATGAACTGGACCATCACAATTTGTCTTTGTTCTACTCAACAGAAGGTGAATCTCAGCAGAAAGCTTTATTCTTATCAGCCATTTGTCTTGAGGCTGGAATTGTAGGAAGAATCCAATATTTTATCACTCTAAATGTCTGGTGAAGTTAATTCAGTCTAAATTACTTCTCAGCCCTACACGGTACAATAAATAAAATTATAGGAGCCAGCTGTGAGCAAGAGTGTGTAAATGGACCATTTCTAATTTGGCTCTATTAAGCCATCATAATTTCAGAGCTATGATGTGCAGAATACTCTTTCACTCATCTGGGAGTCTAAACTGTTGGCAAACATTGTTAAAGGACTCTATGTTTAGTCCTTTAACAGGAGTGATAGTTTGGGGACTCCTACATTTCTTTCAGACTAAAGGGAAGAAGTGAGCAAGCCTGGAGAGCACCCTCCATCTCTAGGGTGGATGGAGTATAAGACAAGGAGTTTGCTCTCAGATAAAGCAGGAGAAGGCAGAATACTGTGCTGGAGGCCATGCATGGTGACCCCTCCCAAGGCCCAGTAAAGCCACATCATGCCCTCCTGGTATTCTGCTTTGTTGAACCAGACTCACAGGAGAAGTTGTAAACATAGTACAGTGAGGTCCTGTGCCTCCACTACTCAGCTTCCCCCAATGGTGATGTCTTCCGTAACTACAGAGCATCATCAAAACCAGGAAATGGGTTGTCACAATACAATTAACTAGACTTTACTTAGACCTTCCTCAGATTTCCTTGTACATCTGTTTTACTAGAGCTTACTTACATAGGTGTGATGGTCTGACTACCAAATGTGGTCCCACTGACCAAATGTGGTTCCCAGGAGAGGAAAACCACAGAACCCCATACTGGGAAACACCACCGTCAGATGTCTGTTGTGGGACAGCACAGTGTCACCATGAAGACCATGGGCTCTGGAGTAGGACAGGACCTGGGTTCAAATCGCAGCTCTGGGCGAACTTGTATTCACCGTACCTTAATATAAATCTCCCAATCTGCAGAATCAATCCTTCTTTCCTTCCCACTATCAGATCGTACAAGTTATATAGGCATACTGTTAACACTTGGGAAAACATAAAAAAGTGGAAAGTGGAAAATTTTAATGTACCCATAATACCATCTTGTTAACTATTGTTAGGGTTTCTTCATATTTCTTCACAGATTTTTTTCAGTGCATGTATTATTTTAAAATGCTTTCTTATTTCTTTTAAATAGGTAATACATTAACACAGTTCAAAATTTATAGTGCACAAAGGGGTATATGGTGAAAACTTTCCTTCTTACGTCTATCCAGCCACCCAGTTCCCACCCAGAAGGCAACAATGTTACCAGTTCCCTGGGAATCCTTCCAGAAATATTTTATAATTCTACAAAGCAAAAATGTGCACCTACACACATATATTCATTTTTCCTTGTGCTTTCACATAGATGGTAAAAGGACATAATATATCCTATTTTGTGCCTTGCCTTATCCACTTAGCCATACATGCATACCAGCACTTCTTGTTACAGCTACATTGTAGTCCATGTATATCTTGTAGATATTAATTAGTTAGCCAATCCCTGACAATAGATGTTCAGGTTCTTTTCAGCACTATTATAAACATATGAATAACCTTACATATATATCTTTTCATCTGTGTATAAGAAGGCAGACAGATTCCTAGAAAGGAATTGCTGAGGCCAAACCTAGAAAGCTTTCAAGTATGCCTTTTGCCAATGTCGGGTTTTCCACAAAAATGGAGGGTTCCAAGGGTTTCACTAGATGATGCACTGGATGTGCTTTGGGCACAGCCTGGCACTTGACAAGCTTTCTATAAAGGGTAAGATGACCATAGTCCTTTAGAGCTATTGATACAGAAAACTTACAGGTCATGAAATGAACTGCATTCCCTAGATAAGTTCTCCACAAAACCGAATCAAAGTTTCATAAACTGAGCATTTTAAAATATTCTAGAAGTTGCTATCAAAATATAACTCAAGTGATTATTTTTGAGAGCTCTGGGATCCTAAATAGACACTTCCTGATTCATTTTCTTTGTAAATTCAGATTTTCGCATCAGTTTCTTTTTAAAGCAGGGGCCACCCACCCAGCTGGATGCTGGGTTCTCAGTTCCTTACAAGGCGTGACACCCATTTGTCCTCCTACAAATGCAATGAAGAACTGATTGGGAGCCTGTGGTGTAGACGCAGTTTGGCTCTCGCCTATAGCGCACTTCGTTCCAGACACAGGGCCAACTCCTGGGTCCTGAGCCTACCTCCTGACGTTTGATTTCCTTGGACGGAAGCATCTGATTGACGCACACATCGAAGGTCTCACTCCACAGCTTGCTGTCTCTCCGCTTCGTGCTTGAGGGGGCAGCATTTCTGGACCAGGGTCGGGGGGCGAGGATGTCAGGACGGCTCTCGCTGCGGAAGCTGATGGAACGCTAAACAATGAGAAAAACAAACCATCACGGGGCCATGGCAGGACTTGGGTGGATTGTTAGAGCAGCTTCCTGTCACTGACAGAATATAAATCAGATATTCACAAAAAAGAGAGGACAATGCCACAAGGCCTTTTGGGAAGTGGGGTGTTTTCTTGAGCCTACGTGCTAAGGGAAATTGGGCAAAGGGGCTGCGTTCACACATGTACTGGGAGTATCCGTTCCGTAAGACCCGGACACGGCACAGAAACATACACAAAGGCAGCTCTCAGAGAAGCCAAAGGCTCCACATTTTTTTCCAGCGGACACCCCCCTCCTTCAGAAGAACAAGGATTAACAGCAGTGGATGTCCTTTACATCTGGCTAGTACTCCCACTCTCCTCCTCCATCAAGGAACAGAAGGCCGCTATCCTTGGGTATCCTACTCGGCGCACAGTTTGGGTGGGATGCCCCAGACCTGACCAGTCAGAGTAGTCCTCCACCCTGGCTCAGGGACGGGTACCTGCTTCTCCGAAATGTGCTAAGTGGTTCATGGGAGAAAGAGTGGGAGGGTCTTTATTCCTTTAGTATTGTGAACCCAAGAGACAAAATAAGCAGGAATTTCTTGCAGCAGCTCTCTCTAGTCATGCAGATAAGTCTATCTGCTTTCAAGGAGAATAAAGGGACACACAGAATGAAGGACAGAGGGAGAGGGACTGATGGAGGGAGGGAGCAAGCGTTACCCACACTGTTTAAACCCTTGGATCCCACTGTACATGAAGCCAGGAAGAGCCACTCTTCAATTAAGGGGTTAATACATTCCCCCTTCTGTTTATATTAGCTTCGGTTGGGATTCTGTCAATCTGAAAACTACCAACTAATATGTATATTAAATGCCATCTTGGCAGCAAATGATGCCTGTCTTCGAGGTATTTTCTTATTTTTCTAGAGCCTCTGGTAGACTTTGCGGTGCTCTGACTACCTGAAGTCCACTCTTGGGGCTGAAACATGCTATCACAGTGCCTTCTCACGACAAGCACAAATGATCAAGAAGAAAGCTAAGTGAATCATCTTTAAGCCTTCATCCTAGAAGATTTCAACACCCTTATTGGGAACTTTGCCAAAGCACTGAGGTGTTGGTGTGCTCAAAACCACATTCTTATTTAGTAAGACATGGCTGTGGCCACATGTGCATGGCCTTCAGAAGTTCCAGCTCCTCAGTCTGGCATAGAAGGCCTCTTGTAATCTGACAACAGTCTATATAACTAGAATCACTTCCTGCCACTCACCCGTGAGCCCTCTATTCTCCAGCCCTACTAGGCAATCTGCCATTTCCTAAATGCATTATGCTTTGCCATCCCTTTGTACTTCCTTCAAGCAATCTTCTTTTCCTGGGATGCTTTTCTTTCATTTACTAGCTGGCTAACTCCTAAGTGTCCTCAGGATATACCTCAAACTCCTCCTCTAAGAAACCTTGACCACTTTCCCAGAGCAATTTGGACATAGCTCTGATATAGCAATGATCACATTTTATTACACTTACTGGTCACCTGCCCTGATCTATAAACTTCCTGAGGGCAAGAACTGATTTTGCATGTGACATATGAGGTTGCCTCACTGAGACAGTCTAAGGCAGCTTCCAAATATTTTGAGATTCAACAATAAAATTTAAGAAAGAAAAGAATTTTAAGGGAGCTATTCAACATAAGGGCATTGTTAAGTAAGTTATAATTCATCTGCTTGATGGTATACTACCTAGCCAATTAGACAATTCTGAGACCATTTTAACAGCTAAAAATCCCTTCTATGTAAGTTAAAATCAGAACTAAAATCTGTATATGAATACTGTTTCTAGTTATGAAAAAAAGCACAAGAACAAAGATATAAAAGGAACACCAGAAAATTCTATTGTTTTTGCCCGATGACATGATAGGTGATTTTTTATCCTGTTTATAAATTTTTTATAATTCAAGAAAAAATGAATAAATGAAAAATGTAAAAAGAAACTTCCAAGGGGCTTCAAGGTATTATCACAACCTTCTTGAAGCAGGAAGTTAGCTGTTTACAAGTAGCAACATGAGTTCCTCAGGCTGGCACAGCCTTCCAAGAGCCCCTGGGCTCATTAGTGAGCTCATGATCACTGGACCAGCCCCCGATGCTGGTCAAGAAAGAACTTGCACCAAATACATGGTTCATTAATGGTATATCGCAAATCCTTGTGATCTCTTGAAAACAGGCCCTTATAAACAGTGACCAGACTAATGCTTGCAGATCCTCCGCACTCAGAATCAATTAGCCACAGGCACGGAAAGGTCAAAACAAGCAAAGTGAGTCATCAGGTTACTCACTGATCTCAGTTTTCGGTTCTGATTACAGCCGGGGTGGGAATTAAAGAGTAGAAAGAGAGGAAAACACAAAAATAAGATTCAAAATGAAAGACATTTTCCACTTTCACTCGAGAGAATCAACCGCCCACCTTGTAACAGTTTCAACTCAACCCCTGACCAACTTAAAATTCCCCTCTCCTCACCACCAGTTCTCAAGTAACTTATGCTAACTTTAAATTTTCATACATTACAAAAGTATATAAAACTAAGTACAAATCCCCTCATTTCCCCAAGTCTACTTTCCAGAAGTAACTGCTATTAAGTCTGTTCTAGATCTTTCCAGACCTTTTAAATGCATTTGCCAATGATCACAGAAAACAGAATGTTTTCTCTTCTCACTCAACAATATGTCTCTTCGTATTTGCATATAAGACTCATTCTAAAAAAATAATTTATGGGGGTAAATTTCACATAACCTAAATTAACCATTTTTGTGAACAATTCAGTGGCCTTCAGTACATTCACAATGTTGTGCAAACACCACCTCTGTGTAGTTCCAAAACATTTCCATCACCCCAAAATCACTCTTTCTCTTTAATGAGTGCAGAGTTAGTATCCCATGGTCCAGATGGACCACATGGATTTAATCAACCTCCCACTGATGGACATGAAAATCGTTTCCAGTGTCTGGCTATTACAAAAAGTGCTTTAGTGAACATCCTTTATGTATTTGTGCTATTTTTATAAGGCAGATTCCTTAAGTAGAATTCCTTGGTCTAAGAAATATCTACATTTTAGCATTTGACATGCATTTCCAAATTTGCCAAATTGACCTCCAGACACTGTTTCAACTTCATTGTCCCCAGAAAGGTATGTGAATTACCTTTTTCCACACTCTATCAACAAGATATTATTATTAATCTAATAGGGAAAACAACTACAGCTGATCCTTAAACAACATAGGTTTGAATTTTGAGGGTCCACTTACATGCAGATTTTTTTTTCAATAAATATGGTACAGTACTGTAAATGTATTTTCTCTTCCTTATGGTTTTATTTATTTATTTATTTTTAAATGTATTTTTTAAAGATTTTATTTATTTATTTGTCAGAGAGAGAGAGCACAAGCACGGGGAGCAGCAGGCAGAGGGAGAAGGAGGCTTCCCGCGGAGCAGGGAGCCCAATGTGGAACTCGATCCCAGGACCCTGAGATCATAACCTGAGCCAAAGGCAGACACTTAACCATCTGAGCCACCCAGGCAACCCATCTTCCTTATGATTTTAATAACATTGTCTTTTTACCAGCTTACATTATTGTAAGAATACTGTATATAATACTTCTACAAAAGATGTGTTAATTGGCTGTTTATGTTATTGGTAAGGCTTCTGGTCAGCAGCAGGCTATTAAGTAGTTAAGTTTTGGGGGAGTCAAAAGTTATATATGGATTTTCATCTCTCTGCAGAGTGTGGGGGGTGTCGGTGTCCCTAACCCTTGCATTGTTCAAGGGTCAGCTGTATACCTTAACTCCAGTTTCATGTTTTTGAAAAATATGACTGAGCATATTTTTATGTATTTCTTGAAAAATTTCCCAGAGAGCTGGAGATATTTTTCTGTTGTAGTTTGGGGGGGGGGGGGCGGGGAAGAGAGAGGTGAGCTATACTAGGTGAGCTCTATTATTAAGAATTCTTCGTTTTGTGTTTCCTTAGTGAGTGGTGGGCTTGGGAGCAAAGGGGGAAGGGACCGGGCAAAGTTCACATACATCAAAGAGGGGCCTTTACGTGCCTGCCCACACTTAGCACTTCTGATGAATTCTCTGATCCTCACAACCACCCACACGGTGGGGGTTTATTCCCACTTTACTGATGAAGAAACTGAGGCTCGGGGAGGCTAAGGCACTTGCTCAGGCAGGATTCAGAACCGGATCTGTTTTGCTCCCAAACCTGATCTCTTTCTATCAAGAGGGCCATATGCCTGCTACTTATATGCAAATCATGCACTGGGGGGAGGTTTCAGTGATATGGGCCTTCTAAGAGTTTAAATCTAGTTATAGAGAGGGAATGCGTTTACTTATTTTTTAGGAATAATGACTGAGTGGCTCTTTGACCAATCAGGTTAACCCTTTTGCTTGGGCTGGATTAAAAGAAACGTTTTATTTTTAACTCCACTTAGAAAGGGGAAGGATGCTGAAAAGTCCCCAAAATACAATAAAGAATGCTGGTCAGGTGTGTGGTCGGCACTGGTCAGCCCTGGGGACAGCTGATAGCCAACCAGACCCAAGCCATGGACAAGTATTTAAGACCATACAACATGACCTACACCTCTTCCAGTCCTCAGTACAACTGGGCGCAATTAGATGAGAGGATTGGAGCTGGGGAAGGAACATGTAACTACTGCTAGGAGAAAAACCCCAAAGAAGAGGATGCCTGTTGAGGGAGGAGAACAGCTATGTCCCTTCCAGTGCCCATCCCCCTTCTCCTGCTTTATTTTCCTCTATTTTCACCATGTGCTGTGTGATGTCATTTACTGGTTTCTGACATGTCTGTTTCCTCCCAGTAGAGGGTAAGCTCCTGGAAGGCAAGGATATCTATCTGTTCTGTTCACTGATGGACTTATTAGCAACTGGCACATAGTAGGAGCTCAACAATTTTGCTTAATGAATGAATAGCATGCCTTGTTTGTGCTGGGCATGGTGAGAG